GCTCTACCATGAGCACTATGTATTGCTTGCCTCCCCGGCTCAGCGGCAGCTCCCCCGCCAGATCTAGGGACAACCTGAAACCCAGGCCTCGGATAGGCAGGGACTGTAGCTCTGCCTTGGCCTGGGTGAGGTTTGCCCTGCTCCATTGGCATGCATCACAGCCCTCCACCCACCCCTTTACTTGCCTCCGCATCCCCTCCCACCACCATCCTGTCTTCAGCAGCTGCACCGTCCTCTCGTGCCCAAAGTGTCCCAGCTTTGTGTGCACCTCCTTGATCACCGCTTCCCTCTCGCTCGGTGCCGGCACCAACTTCCATCCATCCTCTGTTTGCACCTGCAACTGCTGCTGGTACCACCTGTAGTGCTGTCCCCTTGCCCTTACTCACGCCGTCAGCTCTTCATCCTCTCCCGTCTCTCCCTTCACCCACCTCATGGCTGGTCCGTCCTCCCAAATGTCTGCTGGCCCCTTGTGTCCCTTGGCCCTATTCAGCTCCATTAGTCTTGCCAGCAGTGTCAAGGTCACTGTAGGCTCTGGCGGTGGGGGTTTCCGAGACAGACCGTCCACATGCTGCAATGTTTTCCCTGGCCTGTGCTTGATCTTGAAGTCGTACTCCTGCAGCTTCATTGCCCACCGCGCATTCCTGCCCGTCAACCCCGGTGTTGTCATCAGCCAGGTCAAGGGTTGGTGATCAGTCACCAAGGTGAACTCCCTCCCCTGCAGGTACACTCTGAAGTGCCCCACAGCCCATACTGCCGCCAGCCCTTCCCCTATGTACGAACTGTACTGTGCCTCCGCCAAGTTGCAGCTCCTGCTCGCATAGGCTGCCACCTTCTCTTCTCCCTCCACCTCCTGGCAGAGTATCCCCCCCATCCCTTGACTGCTCCAGTCGGTGTAGAGCGTGAACGGGTGATCGGCTGCGGGTAATTTGAGCACCGTTGCGGTTTTCACTGCTGCCATTAGGTCCTGCAGCACTCCCACGCCTTTTGTGCTTCTCCCCACTCCCACGCCTTTTCCTCTCGCAACAGCCCGTTTAGCACCGCAGCTCTCTTGCTGAAGTTAGGCACAAACCGCCTATAGTAGCTCAAGAAGCCTAGCACCGCTCTCAGTCCAGACTTGTCCTTAAGCTCCCTCAGCCTGTCCAGGACCTCCACCTTGGCCTGTTGTATCCCTATCTGCCCTCCCTTCACCTCATACCCCAGATACTGCACGGTCTGTTCTCCCCATCTGCATTTCTTCGAGTGGCAGGTGAGTCCCGCCGTCAGGGTCCTCTCCACATCCTGCAGATGCTGCTGCTCGGTCGTGCTGAATATCACTACATCGTCAATGTAGCAGGCCGCACACTCCACTCCCCGCAGCATGCTGTCCATAACCGGATGGAACACGGCTGAGGCATTCCTCAACCCAAAAGGCATGTATAGCCACTCATACAGTCCATCCGGCCCATGAAAGGCCGTCTTCTTGATGTCCTCCTCTCGGTTTTTGATCTGATTAAACCCTTGCCTCAGGTCTAGAGTCGTGAAGAACACCCCCTCAGCTAGCTTGTCAAAGATTTTCTCAGCCATTGGCATCGGGTACCTGTCCGCTATGGTGATTTTATTGAGTGCCCTGTAGTCCCCACACATCCTCTTGCTCAGCACCTCCCCCGTCAGGTCCCGCCTGGCTGCCACTACCGTTGGTGTGGCATACTCCGACTCGGACCTCTTGATCAATCCTGCCTCCAGCAGCTCTTTGATCTTCTCCTTACAGATTTCCTCGTCCCCATGCGGCATCTTCCTCTTGCGGTGAAACACCGGTTCAGTGCTGCTCAGATTCAGCTCCATCTCCTTCACCTTGCACCTCCCCAGTTCCTGCATGGTGAAGGCGAAGCACTTCCTGTACCTGGCCAATAGCTCCTGCATGGCCTCCTTTCCCTCCTTGCTCATTGCTTCCCCCACCTCCCATTTCTCCACCTCTTTCTCCTGGCAGCTCCATGCCCCCCGCGGCACAGCCTCCACTTCTCCCTTACCTTCCTCCTGCCCCCAGCTCACGACTGTCTCTCGCCACATCCTCTGGATCAGCCACCTCAGCACGTGGCCATCCATCGCCTTCCCCAGGGCCCTCTTTCTGTCCGCCTCGCTCACCCCAGGTGCTGCTGTTGCCTCTTCTCCGTACCCCATAGCCAGCTCCCGTTCAAGAGCCGTGGGCTCCTCCCACCTTCGACTCCTGTGATCATACACCATCCCTGGCCCAGGCTTCCCTGCTTCCCATTTGTACCCCGCCGCTCCTACATATGCCACCAGAGTGGGCAGAACTCGCCTCTCCTGCCCCACTTGGTTGCACGGGTAGTGCCCGTGGTAGCCCTTGCGGCTCACTGGTGCTGGGGTCCGCCCTGGGGCCAGGATGTCTTGCACCTTCCTCTCGGTTGACCGCTTCACTCCGTTCATTTCTGCTTGCAGCTTCGCAGCCGGGACCACATTCTGGCAGTACATCCTAAGCCGATGTGCGTAGGATCCCATTCTGGCCGCGTCACAGCTCACCCCCTTCCCCAGCTGCCCCTTGATTCTGTCCCTCACCAGTCGGACCGGCTCTCTACCATCCCCTTCTAAGTCCAGGTTCTCCAGCAGGTACGCCACCCTGCCCTGCCTCTCCTGCAGCCATTCCAGGATTCGGAACAAGTCTCCCATCAAGCTTGTCCTGGGGTCTTCTTCTCCCCTCCCCTTGCCTGCCCAAGACACACCCTGGCATTCCCACCCTGCCACCAGCAGGTCCACCTGCCCCCGGCTCGCCACCTCCCTCTCGCTTATCTCTTGTACGTCATGGGTGGCTCCTCCCATGGCTTCCCGGATCACCCCCCCATTCAGTAGATCTGGGAACTCCGCTTGCAGCTTCCATGCGTGGTGCTCCGCCATCCTCCTCACCCCCGGCTCCTTCTCCACGTAAGTCCACCTCTTCACGGCTATGCCACTCTTCACCACCGCGGCTAAACCTGCCCCTATACCTCCGAATAGCTCCACCAGGTGGATGGGCTGCTGCCAGTCACTCTGTCGCCTTGGCTCGTCCATCCACCTCATCCTGGCTCCCTCTCTCACTCCTGCCATCCCTTCCAACTCCTCGGCCTGCCGCTCCCCAGCTTGCAGCTCCCCCACGGCCTGGTATGCTCTCTTGGGCTCCACCTTCACAAACCGCACTGACAGCTCTCCCACGGGCCCCTCCTCTTCCAGTTTCTAAACTCGACCCTCTCCGTCCACGTACAGATGGTCATCCCCACAGCAAACACTAGCTCGGTACCCACCAACACATCAAAGTCCTCCGACTCTGAAATTCCACACTTCATGCGGATCTTGGTCTCATGTTCCCCCCCCCGGCAGCAGAGTCACTTCTATGGGCGTTCTGGTGCATGGCATCCACTTGGGCTCCCCTCCTTCCGCAGTCATCACCAGCATCCCCTTTGCCACATGCCTCTCTGGCGCCAGCAGCCCCAGCTTCTCCGCCATCCCCTTGCCCAGCATTACACTCTGCGCCCCGGTGTCTATGATGGCGGTCCTCACCTTCTCTCCCTCTACTTCCATGGCTCCCCTTTCCAGCAGCAACACTGAGGTCTGGCACGCCAGCCTCTCCTGGGGATGGCGGGCGGGGGCTCGTTCCAATGTGGGCTCAGCCGGCTCTTCTCCCTTGGCTCGTTCCTTCCTTCCCTGCTCACGCCTGCCATCCTTCTCCCTGCTCCTCAGCCCCATCTCTTCCCTCCCTCTCCATGCCATGAGTGCGCACTGCACATCTTGCTCCACCTCTTCCCCTTCCTCGTCTCTAGTGTACATCCCTGCCTCAGCCCCTCCTTTCAGCTCTGTTGCCCTCAGCTGCGCCTGTAGCTTGCTGATTTGCCTCTGCAGATCCTCTGGGTGCCTCCTAGGCCCTCCCTCCCTCTGATAGCAGTCCCTCGCCTCGTGCCCACATTTCTTGCAGATCTCGCACCTGGCTGCATCTGGGCACTTCCGTTTCCTGTGTCCTGGCTTCCCACAGCTGTCACACTTCTTGCAGTCTCTGCGCAGGTGGCCTGGCTGCCCACACCTGTGACAGGTTCTGGTGTCAACTCCGGCTTCCCTTCGCTCCTCTACTCGCCCTGCCCCCTCTGGTATCATTGCCGCAGCCCATGTTGGCCGACGGCTCCTCTCTGCAGGCCTGGGCAAGTAAGCCTCATACTTCCTCTGGGCGAGCTCTACCCTCTCTGCCAAATCAAACACCTCTTCCAAGCTTGCCTCTGCGCCCAGCTCATACACCCTCATTCTCAGTCCTCCCCCCAGGGACCCGTCCAGCCCCCCCAGGAACTTGCTAATGAGCAGGCTGCCGTCAGAGCACTTCACGTCTTCCGCCACATTGATCAACCGGTTGTAGTACGTCAGCAGTGACTCCTCTCTCCCCCTCCTGAATTCCTGGAACTCCCTAACCTTCTCGGCCGTGTGCCCGGGAAATTGCCTTTGCAGTTTCTCTAGGAAGGCCTCGGTGGGGTCCTCCCCATACCTCCCTGCCCTCCACAGCAACTCCTCCATCCTCATGCGGTACAGTGTCTCCGCCTCCCGCTCCAGTGTGTTGGGCAGGCTCAGGAAGAAGTCGACAGGGTCTGTGCCGCTCCTGTCGCAGCGATACCGCACGTTGCCGATCTGCATCAGGTAATTCTTGAGTGAGGGCCCCGCCCGCTGGTCGCCCAAAAACCTCATCGGCACCTCCACCCTTGGTGCCGCGGCTGGGCCCCCTCTCCCTTCTCCCCACGCGTCGCTTGCCCTTCCGGCCGATCTCCCGTATGACCTCCCACGGTAAGCCTTGTCCAAGCCCTCTCTTGCTTCGCGGGCCCTCTCCGCCCCATACGCCAGGCCCCCGCTCCTGGTCGCGCTCTCTCGGTGGCTCCCCCTTCCCCTGTCTCGCGACCCCCAATGCCCGCCGTCCCTCTCCATCCGCTCCCAATGCCTTGCCGGCGAATGGCACCTTCTCTCTCCTCCCTCTCCCCGTGCCTCGTAGGCTGTACGTCTCACCGGGTATGGCGACCATCCCCCTTCGCCCCTTCCGTACCACCGCTGGCCGACAGGTGAGCCTCTCGCCTCGTCCCGCCTTCCCTCGCGCCCGCGACCTCGGACGGGCGAGCGCGACTCCTCTCTGGGCCACTGGTGCCACCGCCTCTGCTGGCGCGGGGAGCGCGACGCTCCTCTCTGGTGCCACTGCCGCTCGGGCGAGCGGGATTCCCCCCGTCGTCCTCCTCCACGCGGGGTCTGTCGCTCGTTCCCGCGCCCTTCTCCTCGCTGCCGTGCACTGCGCTGCTCCGCTTGGCGACGCAGCTCATCCGACGTCCGCGAGCGCTCAGTCTCTTCTCCCTCGTGAGATCCCCGCAACTGTAGTTCGCGCACGTCGTCCAACCGCGCCGGTCACTCCTGCTGCGCCGCATGGCTTGCGCGATGTCCCTCCTGACGGTCGGGGTCGTCCCGCCGTGATTCCCGCTCCGCTGCCCCCTCGTCCTCCTCTGCCTCGTCATACGAGTCGGCCGCATCGTGGGTCGGTGCGGACTCTCCCTCCTCTGCTCCGTCCGGCTCATCCGGACTTTCTCCTGCCTGCTCGGGGATGGGCTCGTGCTCCTCCACCGCATCCTCGGCTTCGTTCTCCAGCGTCGTCCCGGCCCGAGAGCTTTTACCGGCGTGCATTCCGCCAGCATCTTCGCCTCTTCCAAGCTCTTCGCGTCCCCTCCAACGGCCTCGCTCATCATGCCGCCGCCTCCCTTCCTCCGGTGAGTGGTACGGCCTGCCGCTCAGGTGGAACGTATCCCGCCGCCACGGCGCGCCGCTCGTCGCTGCATTGCGCCTTTCATCGTTCATTCCGCCGTGGCCGAAACCTTCGTCTCGTCGGATCGGCTCAAGGGGGACCCGATTCGCGCGGAAAGCGGGCCTCCCGGGAGATCGACGATCCACTGACCGTCCGCGTTCCTGCGTGCGATTCTCCCCCGGCCCGTCCTCCTCTCGTCGACTGAACACTCTGCCCCACCGCAGTTCATACTTATCCATTCTATGCTACTCGCTCGAACCGCTCGAGGCTTTCTTGGTGTTATGAACGGGATTCCTCCCTCACCCTACAGGTTCCCTCCTGGTGTGTGCCACAGAGTGCTAGAAGCTCGGATGACAACTTTCACTACTAAGAGAGAATAACACCAAGAAAGCATCGAGGGGTTGGCTGTGACTGACCTTACCCAACCCCATGCTGCACATTCCCAAATGTGCGGCTCGGGGTTGGGATTGCTTGGCTTCACATTTGGCCCTTCGGTGCCCTTTCCCTCACAATCCCAACCGCTCCTATCCAATTTCCGCCTTCTACACCCCTTCCTAACAGTAACTTTCCTACGTTCTACACCTACAACTATTCTTAACTAATACTTCTTACAACTATCTAATGTTCCTATAACTGCAACTACAAGCCCTCCCTACACCATCATCCTACTGTTATTGCATATGCATTAGGTGCATATGCAGTGACAGCGCCCATGGCAGCAGGGCAGCGCGACGCTGTTCGGGCAGGGCAGGGCAGCGCAAGGGCGCTTCGGGCAGGAACGAGCGAAACGATCGGTGGGCCCTAAAAAATTCTACCGTATGGCCCCGGATATAGGCGCCGTCCGATTAAAAGCGCCGGCGCCTCTATCTGGAGCATGGCGCTTATGGCCGTTCCTCTATCTAGAAAACCTTTACTTATTATAAGCGCACGTGAAATTTAATCTAAATTCTTGCTTAAAACGGTAACGAGCACACATTTCTGCAGCGAGTCAGATGTCAAATTCGCTTCGTTTGACTCGCGAAGACCTGACTGGCTGCGCGTCCAGTTAGGATGTGCTGGCATGACGTGTATTTGTGTGTGTGTGAACCCAGAATATCGCTTGCGCGAGATCCTGCTTTGTGACGCTAAAACATTTCGAATCGGTTGGAATGGCAAGAAGAAAATGAACAATTTGGTGCTCTAAATATGAACTTTCTTCTTTGTCATCATATAAGCGCCGGCGCTTATGGCCGTTACTCAATTACAAGCGCCCCCCCTCAAAAAAATGAGTTTATTATAAGCGCATATGCGCTACTAACCGGGGCCATACGGTAACCGTTAACCTGCTCTGAAACCATGTCGAGAGTTAACTATGCAGGAATGAGGAATGACTAGGAACAAGAAGATACAAGTATGAAACCCTAATTGGCGTCGGTGGGGAAGCCCAGGAAGACACATCGGAGAGTGCGAGGAGAGAACTTGCTCGCTTTGGTATCGCGAACAAGGGAGAGCGCGCCCCAGACCCGAAACGACGACGCATCACCAGGCTGTCCCTTCCAACGGAGTGTGGGCGAGGTCTCTGGAGCGGAGACACGGGGCCAGAGGTTGAGCTGATGCGCGGCGTATCGGACCGCAAACGGCCACAGGAAATGGGGAGCAGCCGCATGGATCATGGAGGTACGAGCAACCTCCATGATCAGGCCAATGCGACGCTCAGCGATCCCATTTTGCTGCGGAGAGGCCGGAAGCGTGAACGACTGGCGGATGCCCTCATCCTGGCAGAACGTCTCAAGGACGCCAGAGGAGAACTCACCACCCCTGTCAGAGTGCAGACGCAGGACTGGGAAGTCCTGCTGAAAGCGCTCGTGTAGCTGGAGACGAGTAGCACGGATCCAGGGGATGAAAACACCGCTGACGTCCGCCTTGCGACGCAAGGGGAAGACTGTGGTGTAGCGTGTGTAGTCGTCAACAACCAGCAGGAAGTAGCGCTCCTGGTCCGTCCCACCGACGGGGGCCGGGCCCCACACGTCCAGGTGGAGAGTCTGCAGAGGAGCAGTGGTCGGAGGAAACTCGGAGGAGTGAGGAGCGGCGCGCTGCCGCCCCTCGACGCAAGGAAGGCAAGGCGGCGCAAGTGAGCGCGGGAGGGGGGGCAGGGTCTCAGGGAGGCCAGAGACCAGGAGCCGGGAGTGCATGCCGCGCAGATGCTGCAGGGAGTGGTGACCAAGACGGTGGTGCCAGCGCTGAGTCTCGTGCGTGAGTACTCTGCATGAGCAAGACGCAGCTAACTGCCCTGACGCAGACGCTCGACTCGACGCAGCTACCTGACCTGACTCAGCCACATGTGCAGACGCAGTGGTCAGTGTGTACAGACTAGACCCAGGCTGTCGAGTGAACGTAGCCAAGTGACGGCCAGTCCGGGAGCACGTACAGATCGCCACACGCTGCCCTCCAGGAATAAAGGTATCAACCCAGACATCCTGAATGGCAGCGTTGCTCACCAAGTTCGTCGAGAACGTGGGGAGGTGGAGACCTGACAAAGGGCCGGAGGGGACTGCTGGACAAGGGAGGACCGTGGAGGCTCTCGCAACCAGTGGGCTCCCAGAGGGGTCAGCCAGTGAGACTGGGACAGGTGCTGTGAGTGGTCTGACTGTGGTGCAATCACGAAAGAAGCAACGTGACGCGCCTGAGTCAAGCGTGAAAGTGTGCAAGACCTTATCTGAGGCAGGACCTGTGGTAGTAGACGCACTAGCACCTAGAGCGTCGGTAGACGCACGGGCACCTAGAGCTGCAGCAGACTCACTAGCACCTGGAGCGGCAGCAGACTCACTAGCACATAGAGCAGCAGTCCTAATAGAAACCCTGATTTTTTTTAGGAACCCTGATTTTTTTTTTTTTTTTTTTTTTTTTTTTTTTCCAGGAAGGCTGTGAATCAGCCTTGGATCAGCGTCCCTAGAACTGAATCTGAGGGCCTGCACTGGAGACGTGCACACACACACGCACGCACGTACGCACCACGCACGCACGCACTGAGGGGGAGGAAGGGAATCTGCTAGCACTGACAAGCTTTTACCTACACTTCAAAAGACTAATGTACTACAATTCAGGTCTTATTAAAGGGATGCCCATGTCCAGAAAATATATTACTGTTTTGTGCTAGTCGGAACCTTGGTTCCCTGCAGTACCAGCCATGGCAATCGCCTCATCGAACGAGTGATCTGGATGTTCAACACGGTGAAGAATTGAGTCCACAGACTCCCCATTCGCACCCACGCCAGACCCAAAGAGCTTGGTGTACAAGTCAGACAGTATGACAATAATCTGGTCCATGTGGGGTCGGCTTGATACAGGCATGCTTGTGCACTGCAGGGCCAGCTGGGTGAGTTGAAGAATGATCTCAGGCGGAGCATCAAGGCATGGGTCTTTGAGAGTTTCAACATCCAGTGCTGCCAGCAGCGGCTCCGCCTGCAAGGGCATGCATTGCAAAGGCAACAGCAAGTTGAATATCATTCTATGGGCAGGGAAGTCAAAATTACAATATCATTTTATGACATTACTGAGGGGCAGAAAATCCCCCCCCCCCCCCCCCCCAAAAACAAGGTTGGCTTAATGGGCGGAAAAAGACTCAGATTGACGTGCCCAAGGCTAGTGCAATGCAAAGTGCAGAGATTACCCATTGCCTGATGTTGATGTTTTGATCTCCCTCCTGGACAATTGCTCTCTGGGACGTTAAGAGTTCCAACATGACTATGCCATAGCTGCTCATGCCATGTGCACACCCAATTCCCACCAATGCCACACACAGAATGCATACATGTCAACATGTCAGGGGATGTACCACATTTGCCAATGTCATAAGATGCGGTGCCACAAAGAGAGACGTGCCATGGTGTGCATTGGCACATGAAAGTACATGGTGAGGCGTATGTATGGCAGCATAGAAAGGCATGAAAAAGAAAATACATCAACAAGACACGGCACGACAGAAAAGAAGAAGAAGAAGAAGAAGAAAAAAAGCTAGGACTGGATAGCTGTGCAACATGGTTAACATCAAAGCACCATGCTTACAATGTTTACCAGCCAGCACCACCAAAGCACCACTTAAATGGCACCTGACTTAAGGCATTACTGACAATCGCAGTCCCTGGCACCAGCACAACACACCACCAGCCCCCATACTGTACCACCGGTCATCAGCGTTCCACCGGGCACTGTAGCAGCAGGCACGCCCACCTGTACACGTCGTTGGTGGGGGCGGCTTTGCGCGACTTGGAGTATGCGGGGTCCACATAGCCCGGTGTGCCGAGAATGCGCGTCGTGTCACCCGTGCCCTCATCGCCCATCCTCACCAGCCCAAAGTCCGCCACCTTGGCCTGCCACGTTGCCATGCCCGGAGGACACAGGCGTGGTGGGAGCATGCAGTGTGGAGAGGAGAGGAAGGGGAGGCAGATGGAAGGCGACTTTAACCAACAAGCGGAATCGCGTCCACAGAATAGCGAGTCATAGTGAACATTGCCTGGGTGACTTGCCATTGTGTGCGTGCACGCATGTATGCATGGCGTGCGTGCATGTGTGCATGAGAGTGCATGTGTGTGTGCGTACCGTCATGTGCTTGTCGAGCAGGATGTTGGCGGGTTTGATGTCGTGGTGCACGATGCCAAAGCTGTGCAGGTACTGCAGCCCACGCGCCACTCCCACAAGCACCTGCAGTCGTTGCTGCAGCGAGAGAGGCGGCCGAGTGCCGCCTGTGACTGTGTGCGCGATGGGAGGAGGGGAAGGGAGAGGCACGATCGAGATGGGATATGGAGATGGTAGGGTGGCTTATTCACACGTGCACCTGCAATTTCCCGTGTACCCTTGCTTTCACCTTCACCCCACTTTGGCTTGACCTTCAGACATGCACCCA